AAAATGGCGGCACACACTTGAAGCTAAGCTCATCAGGCTGATACGCACAGCAGGAGCTCGTCACAGCCTCTCAGAGGGCGAGTCTTCTGCAGCTCCGACTGAAGTGGTTGCAATGCTACCGGCAACGGTTTCTTTCAAGATTGAGAAAATAGTTTCAGTTAACACTACCACAGTAGTGAACCTGCGAAGCGAGAAGATGAAAAGGAACTGATCCACTGACGACACCGGAAGATATACCTCTCTTGGGTCATCTGGGGTCACAGGTGACTGTTGATATTAAACACTCAACCTGCGCATACGCAAGACTGAAGATCCAGTGCTTAAAGCACCACCTCTGGCAGTCAGGAAGGATGAAATAGAACATGAAAATGTCTTGCGCTTGTGTTAACACAGACATTATTTCAGTCATCTCACCAAAAACACATTTTGTGCTGAAGTTAGATCCAGACGTGAACTTGAATCTTGTCTGTAAGGACAGCAGCCTAACAAATGACTGACTTTTACTCACTGCCAGGGGTTGACAGGCGAGTGGTGGACACTCAGCTCCGACAGTCTGACCTCTTCCTCTGCAGGTGTGTGCGTCTGTTTTTTTTAAAAAAAAAATCAGTGCAGGAACCACAGAGACACTGAAAAAGAGATGTTTACTTTCTCCCCACTGACGTGCTCACCCACTTCACTGAGTCTGTCCATAAACTTTCAAATGTGTCTACAGCTGATTTCCACTGTTCAACCCAAGCTCAACCCCATCCCCCATCATCATGGAGAGCCTGAAAGACTCAGCTGTGGTTAGTAAGTTACCCTGGTTTAACTTACATTTACCATAATGACCTGTAAAGGTCAATATTGTCTAAAGGCAGATGTCCATATGTTGTCTGATTATAAAGCAGGTCTAGGTTCTATACTAATACTGTGAAAGTGTCAAAGCGCTCAGTCCACAGAGAAATGCACACAGCCTGTATTCAGAACCTGAGCCTTAAAACCAGCCATCAGGACTTCTGGAACTTTGTGATGTCACAACAAAGTAGTAACTACTCTCAGCCATGCCCCAGGCCCCGCCCACCTTGACCTACCAGAAGTCTTCTATGTTTTTATTGGATCACTCATAAAACAGTCAGCCAACAGGTTGGTGAGCCAGTCAGAAGAGAGGAGGCTCTTAGCGTCTCTTCTGTGAGCCAGAGAGAAGCCTGAGAGAGGATATAAAGGAGGTGTTTAGTGACTACCAACTGGGTGACCTCAATGATCAAGTGAATGAACCCTTAGGTGCTGATTCAATGGATGTGCACTCTCCACAGGTTGATCGGTAAGAACAGGAACAAATGGTGTCTGAATCCAATTAATCACGCTCTGATGACAATGCCACTCATTTATTGCAGGTTAAGATTTTCCTACATGAAGGTGTGTGTGGTTTTCTATACAAAAAGAAGAAACAGAATATAAACAAAATTAAGAATGAGCAATAATAATAAACTTAACAATATGACATTGAATACACTGTGTAAGAGAAATGTGGACCACCACAACGCTGGAAACAATTAACAGAAATACACTTATGTTCTGATGGACGCACACGAGCAAACATGGAACAAAAGTCCAGAATACTGCTGCAAGAAACTGCTGTGGTGAATGAAGTTTTCTCCAGATACCTTTACTGATGCCGTGCTGTATTGCTAAATAGATGAGCAGATGAGCGGAGATGTGTGACTGGTGCAAAGAGCGGATATAATGTCGGCACAGTCTGTTCACATGAATTGCACTACAATGATGGAGGCTTGTGGTGAAATCCACCGGCGAATGGCTGACCTTCTGAACAGAGGAGATGTAAAACTACATTGAGATGGTTTTTGGTTCTTAAAACCACAAATATATCTTCTTATGGATCAACTTAAAATAAAACACAGGACCCTAACACAGGACAAGAGGAAAATATGGAGCTCTTTATCACCATAAACTTTATCACCATAAACTCAGCAGCTGATAGAGTCAGAGGTACCTTTAGTTTCTTCCTTACTTTGGTCACCAAGGTCTTTTGTGTAACACTTTAACCGACTACGTTGTTCCTGAAGTTTAGGCCTACGAAGAAAACCTTAAATACTTCAGTGAACATTTTAAAAAGAAGACTTAATGGGGGATTTTGTGCAACTGTTTTTATTTTAGGGAAACCTTAATTCAGACCTTAAGGAAAATCTTAAGGTTTTTTTGTGCAACTGGGCCCAGATTCATCAGATTGTGAACGTTGTATTCTGGATAAGTGAAACATGCTCAATATGCAGACTGGTCCTTTTTATATGTTACATCATCAGATGACTGATGCATTCATGTGTAAGCACAGTTTAATGTGACAGCTGGTGGAGCTGGAGCTCATTTGAACTCATTTATAAACTGTTCAGTAATTTAATCATTAATAAAATGATCTGTCAAATGAAGAGTGGATGACAATATTTCTCTTCAGTATCAGGTCAGCCCTGACGTGCCTCTGCAGCTGAATCAGCACAGATGAATGCAGGACTTTCTATGTGGCTTTGTTTCCTGACTCTCAGTGTAACATTTATTATGAAGTGGGGGAGACAGTACATCACACCAGCCTGCTGTAACTATGGTTACAAGCTGCTGGACATCATTTGTCAGAACCTTGTATGTACAGATAAAGGTTAAACAAGTGAATGGGGGAAATGTTGCTTCATGAAATGACTCTCAGCACATCCTGTGTGTAGAACCAGTTTTTACATCATCTATGGTAAACAGTGTCCACGCTCTCCACACCAGGCTGTAGACCAGGAGTCTCACTCTGCCCCCCCAGCAGAAAATTTAGGCCAGAAATGACAAAAGAAGCCTCCTGAACTTTTGTGATTTCCTGGGTTTTTCATATTTTATGAATTCAGTTAATTGTTACATTCTCTGTAAACTGTAAGTTGTAAACAGCTTTCTGTAAATTTATTTCTAACATGGTGTTTCAAAGCCCTCTCCACTTGACCATAAAACAATATTTATCATTATGTTGGCCTAACAGTAGTCAGCTCTCAGCATTTTTATTAGGCCACAGTTTCCTGCAGGCACTTGTGGAAACTGCATTGAGCCGTATCTCCATCTGGTGTGGAGTCCCTGCAGAGAGCGCTGAGGACAGCTGAGGATATCATTGGGAATTCACCCCCTCCATCCAGGACACATCACACAAATGCTGCTGCATTACCAAGGCCACCAACTGTGCCAGGGACTCCACCCACCCCCTTCATGGACTGTTTGCCCTTCTGCCCTCTGGGAGGAGATTTTATATATTTATAAAATTAACATAACAAATGAGTATCTTACATATGCCTGGTGCAACGTAATTCTGTTCTGATGTGCACTTTTACTTGTGTCAGAATGACAATAACGTTAGTCTTCAATCTTCAATCTCAGATGGGCCGACAGCTGAGTTTGCCTCTTCCTGAGAGAAAACACAAATCCAGTGATGGCTATGGGTCCATGTACATTCAGACAGTTTGTTTTTTCATTTTAAACCAAAATAATTTTTCTGTTTTTCTATAGTATTTTTAAATCTGTGAACCAGAAGGGACAGAGAAGTTTTTTTTTTTTTTTCAATCTTTCCCTGTTGAAAGGTATTCAGATGACGTGGAAATAAAGGTGAATATTTCAGAATAAAAGCCCAGAGGATAGAATGGCCAAAGTGTAACATTATACAATAATAGCTAGACAGATAAAGATCTGTTACTTTCTTTACTTTCTTTACATTAAGACATGAAAAATACTTGATCAGAAGTGTGTGATGTATCATTTACTTGCATAGCGTGAATTAATAGACTAATTAATTAATATGTGGAAATACACTGTGTGGTCCTGTGTGACCAACAGAGGTCCTCACTGTTACCAGATGATTGTTCACAGTTTCACCAAGTCACTTCATATTCTGCTACATGATCAAGCTAATGTTCACTGTTTATAGCTGCTGTTGGTTGCTGGTTGTAGCTGACACTACAACCTTTATTCTGAAAATCACCAGTCCTAAGTCAGACATCACATAGTGGAGAAATCAGTCATCCATGTCATCTGAATACCTTTCTTCATTCTTCAATTCAACAAGGAAAAATGAAAAAAGGAATTTACAAACACCAGAATTGAAATGTTTCTTCTGATTTGATGGTTTTGGTTTTTTATCTTTTTATTCTGACATTAAAAACAGGAAAACATCAGTTTTTACCGTTTTTGTAATTGAATGATTTCATGTTGTTTTTACTGTTCTTTGTTTAAAACAAACAAACAAAAAAAAAAACGAACTGCCCGGATGTTAACTCGTCAATATGGCTGAAGTCTGCAGCTAAAGCAGAAACCACTCACACTGTGAAACGTGGAGTGTTCACAGTGTCACAGAGACAGTTGCTCTGGTCTCCTGCATTTGCCTCCTCAACCAATTTCAGTGCTTCTTGTGTTTTAAAGAAATTATCTCATTCATCTGAGCTGCAGCAGTTTTACATTATAGGTGATTATAAGAAGCATTGAGTCCGGTTTTAGATTCATGCTGCTGCCCACTGCAAGCTGATGGTGTGGTTGATCTAAATCCAAAGAGCAAAGGCTTGTAGGTTGTAGGTGCATAGCGGTCACTGAGTAAACTGTCCTGACATGGAGGAGCGTCATCTCTTGCTTTTTGTTGTGTTGTCTTTGGACTTCCACACAAAGGTCAGAGTACTGGTGCCACAGGTCTGTCAGAGTACTGGTGCCACAGGTCTGTCAGAGTACTGGTGCCACAGGCCTGTGTGGCATGCTGAACTGGAAAAGATGACCATTTTAACAGGATTTTTTTCAGGTGTTGGAAAATGGGCTGTTAATGGGAGTGGTGAGTGTTCTGATAGTGTTCTGTTTACTTGTTAGAATTGAAATGATTCCAGTTTAAATAAAATGAAAATGTTTTTATACTAAAACTAAATCAGCATCAGGTGACAGAATGAACCCTGCATTAAAGACTTTGTTGTTCAATATGAATGAAGACAAATATAAGATATGTCCACAGTTTATTTGAAGATCATTAAACACACACTGACTACTCCCATTCGTTATACAGAGTATTGATATAGAAAATGAAAGATACATCTTTAACCTACTGTTTAAGGAACTGCAGCATTCAAACCTTCAGCTTTCAGTAAAAACTATCACCATCAAGCTCCTGTTAAATTTGATCATTTTTAATCCTGGTATCTTTCAGTGCTGTGTATCACTACAGCGCAGTGACATCATCATCCTCCTGTGGAGAGTCGACCAGTGCCGTCTCCTCTGAACCTCCTGGTTTGTCTCCACTGCTCTCTCCTTCTACAGCGCTGTGGTGTCTCTCGCTCGCATCACCCGTTTCCTCACTGTCTTCATCCTCCTCGTCCGCCTGTCTGTTCAGTGCCCTCTCCCTCAGGTTCTCCCCCTCCATACTGGAATAGTCATCTGAAGTATCGCTGTCTTCCTCGTCTTCCCCCTTTTCTTCATACCTAACTCCACTACTACCTCCTTCTCCCCCATCGTCACTTCTCTGTCCTCCTTCCTCTTCCTGTCTTCCCTGTGCCTCTTCTTCATCTTCCTCACCACCTCGCTTCCCCCCTTGCCACAGGTGGAGCCCCATCCGGTCCTCCAGGTTTCCGACTGCGGTGGTCAGCCTCTCACTCACACCCTGAAGGAACCTGGGCACGGAGCTTTCCCGACCTGACCACCTGCCCCACATGAAGTGGAGGCATCCCACAAGCAGCATCAACACAATGATGGAAAACAGAGTCATGAGAATAATGAACTTGGATTTAGAGTAATAGGGAGCAGAAGCGGTTGTGTGTGTGGTCTGTGGTGTGGTGCTCAAGAGGTGAGGTCGGTTGGTTTTTGCTGTGGACTGTGATGAAGATGATGTAGGTGGTACAGTGGTGGCTGACATCTGAGTCCATGTAGATGAAGAGTGTGGAGCTTCAGTAGGTTCTGTGTTGTTTGGGGGAGCAGAGGAGGTGTTGTTCTGCATTGTTTGATTACCAACAGAGGACGCAGGAATCAGGAGATTCAGCACGAATAAAGTCAGAAGTAGGACGGCCCTGGTCGTCATGGTGACTGTAAAAAGACACAAAACAAAAAACAGTTAGAGCAATGGCAGCATGCTTTAAAGATATATATTATTATTACACAATCCTATGGAGTGCAATTCAAAAAGATGGGGATGAGTCACAGCAGAGAGGACACACATCACTAGTTCGTTCCCAATATAAACTGTCATATATGATCTGATGTCAGCAAACACTGGCTCAGTCATGAGCAGAGAGACAATGGAGGGTTGGTTGTTGTAGAGATACGTTTTGACATCAATATGAGTTTATTATTTCATGTTAATAGTCTTTTGTGTGTCTCTGGTGGTTTAGTTCGTCTCGTACCTTTTTGATATTAGCTTCTATAATAGACATCCCCGTTTTCACTCATGAATTCAGGAGTTTTACCTTGTTGGGTAAATTGATAATATTAGCATGTGTGCAATTACGTTTTACTACACTTAAGTACAATTTTGAGGTACCTGTATTTTACTTTAGTATTTTATGTACAATTTTATGCTACTTTATACTTCCACTCCTACATTTCAGAGGGGAATATTGTACTTTCTTCTTCACTATTAATTATTTGACAGCTTTAGCTTATCAAGTCAGATACTGTGAGGACTGTAAGACTTCAGCTCACTGACCCACTGTACTGAGTTCCCTTTCACACCAGAGAAACAGTTGACCCCTCAGTTTATCAGATTGTCAGATTGTATATTTTGCACTCTGACTGAGACCACCAGAGAAGTGGGGTCTGGTGGACCCGTGAAGGGTTTGTTGTTTGGTTTAAGAGAAACGGATCAAGTGTATCTACTGTATATTAAAGCACATCTTTGATTTTACTCCAAAGGATAAACTGCTTATTACATCTATCTGCCGTTTGTGAACTGTCATGCAAGAAATCATCATCTATATAAGCAGCATTTATATTTATGGAGCTGTTTGGTAACCATGGCTGGCACGTGCACATGTAGACATCCATGGGAGCTTCTTTACAGCTAGTTAGCCAAAAGACAAAAACAAATATAGCTAACTTGTGTCTTGCTAACGTACACACATGAGCTACTTAGCTAATGTAATAAGTTAATTAGCTAAGGTTAGCTCCCTCTCTCACTCTTTTAGTCCTATTAAAAAAAATAAATGTTATATCATATCATGATTTATAATGGTAGGCATGATGCTAATGTACTGTACTTAAAGGGATACACTACAGGTGAATATAGTAAAATTTGTATCTAATAACATAATCACCATCACCACCTTTATATGCAAATGAGGCATTAACTAATTAAAATGCACCAATTTACATACAACTGTACAGGCAGCATCAACACAACCTGTATGTTGATGGTGTGATTTTGTTTTCCTGTTTACAAACACCTCCTCATCTCGTGATGGTGCAATAATTATTACATGTGTTCCATCTCTGGCAGTGATCACAGCAGGTAGACCGACCATGAAGCTGCTTTATTTCTCTGTAGTTGTTGAACATCTAAAAGAAATCGTATGAATTGTCCTATGATGTCGGGTCAGAGCGCAGTTATTGTTTGGTGAATAGATCGGCTTTTCTCTGTTGCCAAGTAACGCAGTGTGATTTCCGCACTGATGGGGTTGTTTCGGTTGGTTGGAGATGTTACTGCATCCTTCACATACACAACAACGATCATTATTCCCTTGTGATTGAGTCAGTTTCTTTTAAATTAAATTCAGCATCGTGTAAGGTTTCCAGAACACTGTGACGTGGAATGACAGCAGCTCTTTATGATTTGGTCTTAGTTAGTTAGGAGTCCTCTTGACTACTTCTAACTTCTCCCTCTTAGGAGCTACTTTTAGTGCTAAGATGCTTTGTGAATACAGGCGAGGAGGTCTCCTTTGTTGTGCTTATGTGTGTGAACTGGAAGTCAAGGAGCGCTTCCTCCAGGTCTGCAATGTGTCAAAAAACAACAGGTGAGGAGATGGAGAAAACAATTCTTGATTTGCTAAAGATCAATGGCCTACAGATCCAAAACATGCATGATGAGGGCTATCATGGCGCTGCCAATATGAGTGGTCAATACAGAGGACTGCAGTCAAGAATACTGCAACACAACGACAAGGCTCCGTATATGCATTGCTTAAATCTGGTCTTAGTTGAAAGTGCAAAATCAAGCCTACACTTCATTACCTTTTTCAACCTGGTAGAGAAGCTCTATGCGTTTTTTTTTACCAGCCCTACAAAAAGACACTGCATTTGTGAAATGCCAAGAGCTCTGCACCCTGGAGAGGGTGTAATTCAACTGCAGAAGCTCTCTGACACACGTTGGGCACGCAGAGGAAAAGCCCTGAAGGCCCTCCTTAAAATGATGAGGGCTGTGGTCAAGGTCCTCACCGACATGACGGATCAGGAGTCTCAAGATACTGCTGCTGGAGATGCCAGGATGTACCTTACAGCCATCGACTTTGAGTTTATGCTTTGCCTTGAGATAGGAACTCTGATGCTTTACACAGCCTCCCCACAGTCCCCCAGGACAGCACAGGCAGAGAAGGGTGTCTGCAAAGTATAGACAAAGAACTATTGCAGCCACAGAGAGCCACTCCTTCCAGTCAGTCAGAGGACTACTACAGAGAGAAGGTGTACTAATCATTCATGGATGTTCTTTCTCTGGAATTACACAGGAGATTTAGGGGAGATGGCGAGACACAGTCCAGTAAGATACTCGGTGCACTCCACAGTTTGACAAAGGTCAACAACTGGATAGATGCAATAGGTCCTGACTCTCGAGGCCATGCACAGACTAAGAGAGGCTTTCTGATTGGTTTGCTTATTTATTTAGAGAACAGCCTTTTTTAGTTTTGTGTAAAGATTTGTTAATTTAATAAAATAAACAAGTTATCAGTGCAATTCTTGAAAATTCTTTGTTCACTAAGTCGCTCTCCCTGGTGCAGTCGGTTATTCTAAATATATACTAGAAACTAGTAGACTACAAAACAATGTGGCATAGTTTCCTTTGTTGTTGCCTGCTCTTGTGATAAAACTAGAAATAGTGAATACTAATGAAGACCATTGTCTCTGTGTGAACTGATAACTTTGCAGAAATCTGTTGAGTATTAAACAGTTGTGTGAGTGTAGGGGCACTTAAACAAATCTGTAAGCAAGTCAGAGATGTGATACTATATTTAACTTTTTGTTTTAAAACATTTTTTTCTATAAATAATTATGAAAGGTGCCCTTTTTCTCACTTGAGCCCCTGCCCCCCAAAATGTCTTTCCACCTCCCTCAACCACGGTAACTCCTCTGTGTGTCACCATGTGAGTGGGGGGTGGGGTGGGGGGGCTTTCCCTGATATGTTAGAAACCAAAAATTAGACAGTGAACACACTCATGTTCACACTCAAGTTGCAAACGGATTCATTCAGTTCATTCACCAAGAAACACGAGCGTGTTCAGCGACAGCGGCCGTGGCTTCAGAAGCTGAGTGACGAGCTGCTGTGGACGGGGTCGGCACAAAAAGCTGATTTAGCCACTTCACTTCTTCACTTGCAGAAAAAAAAGCTAACATGAGTTGAAGCTTCATTTTGAATATTTTCATCACTTTATCTCCCGTCAAATAGACCTTTATTTTGGAACTACAATTTGTGAACCATTGAACTACTACTATGCACAAGCACACCAATGCTTAGCTCTGTCTGGCTCAAACAGCTCATCTGAGTAATGCAGTGTGGTAAGTGTGATGGGAAGCTTACAAAAACCCCACGTCCGAAACCGGGAAAACCACTTTAAGGTCAGGTGAAGGTGGGTCCACTTTTTAAATGAGTCACTGTCTTTATCTACAGGCGTGTGGAAGAGTTCACTACTACTGTTAGTTATGAAAGGCAGGCTACACCCTCACTCCATGGATTCATGATGCATATGTCTCCTACTCCGTGCTATGATTAAGAATAAGAACAAGTGGACAGTTTTATTTCTCTCTATTGAACATTATGAACATTCAGCTGGTGGACATGGAATAGACAGTCCTGTATAAGTAAAGAGTCCTTTGTGAGAATTAAAGCTGCAAGCAGCGTTGAGTGGCTCTGCCAGTGGTTGGTGGTAAATTCAAAATGACTGACTTCCTGTGGGGTTTATGGTATGGGTGCAAGAGGCTTTTGTAGGTCTTGGCAATCTTTTACATCTGCAAGTAGGTGAAATGTAGGGAGAGTGTAGTCCTCATTGACATTTTCTAGGGGGCGCTATTGAGCCATTTTGCCACACTCATGTGCAAGACACATAAAACGCGTGTATTTTCACCAGGCTTTGCAAAGTTTGCTCATGTTTAGGCTCAAAAAGGAAATGCATTTTTGAGAAGAACAATAAACAGATCAATTCCAAAATGGTCCTCGCACCAGTCTGTGCTCGGACCTGAACAAGTGAAGAACTGAATCCTCCTTTAGTCCACCGCAGCAGCTCATAAGGGAATAGAAAACAAACGTACCTTTCTCAAGTGCACAGCTATGGACAAAAAATCTAACATGATTCAGTGGGCTCATGATGTCACACATACTGTATACTGTACGAAGGTGAATCAGACAGCTACACTTGAATCAGTGGAGGAAAAAAGAAGAATGAATCAAAGAACTGACTGGTAGATAGTAGATACAGCTTGTTCTCTGAAGGTCTCTGTTCAAACAGAGCAGTGGATGATCAGGACTGATAACAGTGTAACCAGAGGAGAACAATGGAGCTTATATTTGTCTCTTACATTATTCTTCCTGTGTGATTAAAAGAATGAAAATAAACAGGCTGCTGTGTTCCTCAGCACCTCATTCAACATTCACCTTCATATATGTGTATGACATGATGAGGTCACTGTATTATCTGGGAGTCTGCATGTTCTCCCCGTGTCTGCATGGATTCTCTCCAGGTACTCCAGCTTCCTCCCACAGCCCAAAGACATGCACATTAGGTTATGTGGTGACTCCAAGTGCTCGTAGGTGTGAATGTGAGTGTGAGTGGTTGTTTGTCTCTATATGTCAGCCCTGTGATAGACTGGCCAGAGTGTACCTTTCCCTCAGCAAGTGTCAGCTGGGATTGACTCGACCCTATAAGGATGAGCTGCATAGCTAATGCGTAGATGGAAGTATAATCTGTGGATGACAATACAATACAAGCCATCCATAACTGTGCAGTTCAGAAAGGTCAGTTTGTTTTCTACTCCAGCCTGTCCCTCATTATGTTATACCATAGGTGCTCATGAGGTGCAGCAGGATGTCACAGTGTCAGTTTACCAATTCTGCAACCAAAAATGTACAAATTTAGTAATTGATTAATTGTGTATGTCAGTGGTTCCCAAACTGTGGGCCACAAAGGTAGGCTATTGCAAATGGGCTGACAGCACAATTTTGGTGAACATGCACAGCGCCTTTCATAGTTTTTTTTTCCTTGTATTAAGGTCTATCACTGTGATAAGACAATGATAGCAGCTTTTTATGTTGTCGCTGCCAGACCACATCATATACATGTTCTCTGTGTCAGTCTGATTAAAAGATCACATCTGTGGTAAAAACTGCAGAATTAAATGACAGATGGTGAATAGATGGTGAATAGACTAATGACCCCCCCCCCCCTCCCCCCCCATCAAACTAAACAGAGAAATTCATCTTTTCAGTTGAATTAACCTGAGGGGCCGCGGGGCAATAATTTGTTGTTGGGCCCCTTTTCAATCCACTATAAAATCAGCTCATTATTTGTCCAGGCACCTAGAGCTGAAATAATTAGTTAATGGTTTAATTGATTTAATTGCCACCAATTTGGTAAGTGAGTCATTTTTTAAGCAAAAATGCCAAAAAAAAAAAGAAAAGAAGACACCTCACTGTTGCCAGCTGCTCAAGGAGAATATTAGCTGGTGTTCATGGTTTCTTTCACTGTTTTTTCACACAAAGTAATTGCTATTTGCAGCCTTCAGTTCTGGTGGAATAATATGACGCAAGGTTCCCATCCGTTTATTGCTAACGCAGAAAAAAAGAAATATAATAAAGGGTCATAAGACTTGAGTCCCTCTATGAGACCAGAACCACAAGTCAGAGGGTGGAAGACCTGATGCACTAGTTGTTACTGTGCTTCAGTGGTGCAAATCTGACAAATCTGAGATTAATCAAACCTGGGAGTCCGGGTCCGACTGGTAATCCAGCCTTGTCTGTAGTCATTCAGTTTCTGACTTTGTCCACATGGTGCTCAATATAAAACATTGTTGCCAAGCAGGATTCTGTCACTGCATGTCTCTGACTGGAGGTGTTTTCAGTAGGACCCAATGACAGATGGTTACAGATACTATAACAAGCCTTTGGCGCACAATGTGCATATGCAAAAAGGAACAAAAGTGAGTCAGGATGTGGTTGTGTCTGTGCAGCTCACACGTCTGTGTAACATAACAGGAAATGGAATTTTGCAGCTACGTGCAGCTCTGCATTTAAAAGCAACTGCCAGTAAGCAGGTGGCTGTCAGAGGCATTATGGTACAACTGTGGCACATCTTTCTTATTCAATAAACCACAAGGAGAAAGGCCTCACACTCCTTCACCCAGTACACTGCCCTGAACCACCATTAATGCGTCCAAACATCAGAGTCACTGTTGTTTTTAACCCACAGGAGCATGTGAGTCAGTGCAACCCTCCAGAACTTCCCTTCAGATTCTAGTGGAGATCCCAGAGTCGCCAACCTGTACATGACTGAACGTCAGGCAATGGTGCAAAATACACCATTCAAGTTTGAATGTCTAATTCAGTGTGAACATGTTAGATCTTCAGTAAAGTAGCGGAACAACATGAGTGACAGCTATACAACAACAGGTTTTTAGTCTGGAGTTTAGTCTAACAGTTGTATGCCTCCTCCACTCAGATTAGTTTCAGGTTACATTCCTGTTTGTCTAGAGTCATAGAAAGTATGAATCATATGTGTGAAATTTTGTTATGATTGCTGTGTGAAGTCTAGAGTTATGGCTAAAGAGAATTTTGTGAGTCACACTGACATTGATCAGTTCGTCCTTGAGTCCAAGTGAACATTTATGCCAAATTTGAAGAAGTTCCATCAAGGCGTTTTTGAGATATCATGCTCACGAGAGGGAGACGTACGGATGGACGGGCAACCTGAAAACAATATGCCTCTGGCTCTGGCTGTCTAACTCAATATAGAAGATATTTTTTTTAAATGATACACTAATACATGAAAAAATTCAATCAATATTACAGAAAGTTCAGTCAACCACAAACTGTAAGAGGTTGTTGAATAAAGGAAAACTAGGAACTTGTGAATGAGGGGAGGGCTGAGAGCGAGGGGAGGGTCAAAGGACTGACCAGACAGGATGTTTAGTTAATAGGGCTGATGGAGAGCAAACACGAGGATGTGGATGGATTCTGGTTCCGAGACGTGGTGTGTGAGAGGTAAGAGAGTCAAAGTGAGCGGGAAACAGTAACGTCATCAGCAAAGAAGCTACTGCACATATTTCACTCTATGTGAGACTAAACCAATATAAAAGCAAAGCCAAAGTGTGTACCTACCTGCTGAGCTGATCATCCAGTGGTGAGATGGAGTGAATAAACAATGAAGTGAGAGGGTGAAGGAGGTGAAGCTGTGAATGAGGATGTGAGAAGACAGTAAGAGTAGGAGTAGGAGAGAGAAAGAATGAGGTTGGGTGGGCGGGGAAAAAGACTGGGACCTGTGTGAAGGTTTCAGTGGCTTCACATCCTCACAGAACCAGGTCACTTGTTTACAGATCTCTGTCCTTTATCTCACTGTGACTTAATTAAACAAGTAGAAAATGTACAATATTATCTGAGGGTGTTTTTCAGATGACTGTCCTGTAAACACATTAACTGTATAGTTGGTACATCTGGATAAAAAATATGATAAAAATATTAAATGTTGTTAAGTATGTTTGACCAAATAATTCTCCAAGACTCAGACTGAGAGGTTTGGAAAGATGTTGTGTTGAACCTCTCAACCCTCCTGTGCCTCTCTCCTACTCTCTCTCCTGCACTTGTTACCCCTTTAAATGAATCTCCACCCTCTATCACTGCTGAAAGTTCTTTTAAACTCTGTAAATATCCTCTGCTATGATTCATATTTGGTTTAACAAGGCTTTCACACATCTCCTCTTACTTCCTGTTTGAGAAATGTGGATAAGGGCTTGAGCCTTGTCCAGCACCTGCTGTCTCCAGGTGGACAGGTGTAAGAGCAGAGAGTATCAAGATGGTTAGAAGAAGAAACATCAGAGAGACTCAGCCACATGCAAGGCCGGACCAAGGCATTAGCGAACTAAGCGGCTGTTTAGGGCCCCCGAGGCCCCCATGGGCCCCTAAGAGTACTTGAAATGCCCCACAAGATCTTTATATTATTGTAATATATATTCAACACTAGGACTGCCAGCATTCTAGCACCCATAGGCACCACAACGTCTGCCAGACCGTCATATATAATTACATTGTTTGGGGTCTCAAGCAGTTCTGCTCAAGCAGTGGACAAAATAGAGTGCCACTGGACTTGGCTTGGAAACTGTTCGGTACTTTTAATATTTATCTATTTATTTATTTGAAGGCTAAAACTATATACAACAATATACATATGTATTTTAACACACTGCAGAATAAAATTTATCAACACAAACAATAAAAACTTTCAGAAACATCAAAATCAGAGACTAGCAGACATATCAGAAGGGTTAGCATAGTTAGCATCTTTTATTTGTTTATGTTGTTTGTGAGCTTGTAACTGGGAGTTGCTGACACAGTGTTAGTGCTTGTGTGAATGCTAACTCTCTCTCTCTCTGTACTGACAAGTTTCAGGTTCATAAAACCTGCCCCCCCTCCGCTCCGACAAAGTGACAGGACTGGTTCCTTAGGTTTGTGACCTAGATTTGTAAATGAAGATGGAGTAGCTTCTGTGACATCACCACAGAGTTTCTGAAGAGCAGTTTTGAAGCCAGAGTGAGCTGCTCCACACGTTGCCATCTTGGCAGTGCCTAACTCACTGCCCTAACTCCCAGTTAATCCGAATATGGTCAAAGAGGTGGGGCGTGGGTGGAGCTGAGACTATTATATATATATATATATATATAATATGTGGATAGTAAATGCCCAACGCAGACATTAATGTTACACTCCCGTGATGACAGTTACACCACAGCCACGTCCATTCCTGTTGAAGCTCCTCTGAATTTGACATCCACCCAGTCACTCTTCAGAGATCTTCAGGGGAGGCGCAGCATGAAGAAAAAAAAACACTACAAACTAGAATGACTTCCTCGTAGTTGTCTGTCTCCTCCTCTCAGGCTAGTTTCAGGTGACATCCCTGTTTATCTAGACTCATAGAAGATATGTACTATTTGTGTGTTTTTGGGGGGGCAACTGTGACCTTTGACCTTTGACCTTTAGCCACCAAAATCTAACCAGTTGGTCCTTGAGTCCAAGTGAACGTTTATGCCAAAATTTGAAGAAGTCCATCAAGGCGTTTTTGAGATATCATGCTCACGAGAGGGAGACGTACGGATGGACGGGCAACCTGAAAACAATATGCCTCTGGCTCTGGCTGTCGATGGTGCGGAGACATAACATAACTGTAAACATCTGGTTAGCTAAACTCAGCTATGCATTTGGGCAAAATGGATTGATTTTTAGTAGCTACAGTGGGAGAGGAGACAGGGGCAGCAGAAACGGATGAAGTACGATCTACGTTTATTCCTTTCTACAGTGCATCCCTGCATCAACCACCTATCTGCAACAAAAGATGCAGGGCCCTGGTCTTAAACCCGGCGCAAAGTGGCACAAGGCACCCCCGTTCTTCAAATAGCAAATACACCTGCGCTCATCTGAGAGGGGACATGAGAGTGTGGGTCAAAGAGATCTTTATGTTGTCTGAGGGGAGGCTCACTTTTCACACAACACAACAAGCCTTTACATATCCCATCTACATCATATCATGATATGAACACAAAACAAGATGCAAATCAAATAAATTTAATTCTTGCTGCCATTTAGAAATCTCTCCTGTAGAGGTGGCAATAACACAAAATTCTTTTCGATCGGAAACCAAGTAATCAGGGCCC